CGAGGTAGACTTGTCGAGGATGGAGGAATTAGAAGCGCGCGCGGGGGCAGCAGCACCACTCGAAGATCGGCTTCATCGCGCGGTGATCGCTCCTGATCCCTATGCAACCCACGGCATTCGAGAACAATAAGCACAGCCGGTCCATCGGGCGCGCAAGTAAATCTGTTCCTCTCAACTCGCCTCTTCGACCCATTTTTCCTCCAGTTGCGGTGTCCTGCGTGGACGAGCAGACGAGCAGGGATGTGCGTGTAGCCTGACGCGCGACGGAAGCCCTTTAGCATTGGCACCTGTGCTGAGCGGCAGGGAGAAGTGTATGACTGTGCTCTGTGGGATGTGCGTCAACTGGGGAAGCGCATACTGCCTATGAGAGAGGAGAGAAGCAAAGAAAACAAGACGGGATTAGACGTTGAACCGAACGATAAGGAAATGAGTTACTCACCTGAGCCTATATCCGCTTTCAATATCAGTATGCCGCCAGGTATGGCAAAATTGTGCGCAGCACGACCTACAGAGGCAAACGGCTCATCCTCGATGACAGGCACAAGGGTGAGCGAGATTGTCTCCGTAATGAACGCGAGCCTGATCCCAAAACGCCCAACTCCCGCGGCAACGCGTCGAAGATGTTCGCTGCTGCGCATGTTGCTGAGCCTGAGAGAGTGTAGGTCGAATCGGCGTGGTGAGGGACTTCGTAGGAGTAGTGGCTTGCGCTATGGCTGGATGTGCCAACCCGAAACTCGGTGGGTGAATCTCGTCTCTCTCCGCTCTAGAGGGGTGATGACAGCGTGGTGGGGACCAATGAGCGCGTCCATTGAGCTGTCCGTAGGTTTGTCGGTGTCGTTGCTGCAGGAATGGACGGAGAACGGAGGGTGGTATTCGTCGTCGAGGGATTGCAAATGCGGATGTATAGTTTACCTTGTAAAAAGCTCAACGAGACGTTTGCCAGGAAATAAAACAGCACCACTTACTTCCGAAGGAACTCTATGCAGAAACCTCGACTCTCTGGACTTGGCGCTGGAGAACACGGCGGAGTATACTTGCTTCCTCGTACTGCCATTTGGGTGGGGTGGCGGGCTGGAGCTTTCAGTGCACAAGGGCACATCCTACAACATTCGAGGTGCCGATGTGCATACCCAACTACGTGCCGGGTTGTTATCGAGGCTGCCGGTATTGAGGGGAGACTTTGGACGCCACAGCTGGGCTCGCTGCATGGCTCAGAAAAATCACGACGACGACGAAGCAGCGAGCGGACGATGGACCACGAAATGCGCGACAAAACTCAAAGAGACTCGCGACCAGCCAGGAGAGGAATCGCATGCCTGTAGTTGTCGGGTGAGCTCTGTAGTTCGGAAAGGATTCTAATTGACAAAAGTTAACCTTCTTAGTGGAAAGGTCCCAAAATCGGGCGAGGGACTCGACGAAGAGCGCAAGGAACCTAGGTAAATAAGACTGAGGCTCCAGGTCGAACCCAAAACAATGGGACTCGACATACCTGAGTACAACCCGTACAGTCTCGAGCGAAGCGAAGGCACTTGGTTTCGATAGATGTGCTCCGATAGTAGATCGCGGTACCGGTGCTGAAATAAATAAGGAACATTGGCGCGAAGATGATACCAAGATATGGGAACGCGACCACAGCGCACCGATTTCTTGAAAGCCAAAGAAGAAAAGGTTGGGTACACGCGCAAACTCGAGATAGGGGCTGTCAAAGTTTCATGTACGGTCTTGTTTAGCACTGTACAGGAAACTGGGACACCCATGACGTCCTTTATTTGATGACTTTCCTTTTGTAGATGTCCGGGTAATCAAGACCCGGATCGACTTGCATCGAAATCCAACGTACCCGGTCAACTGGGAGACTGATGATGAACAAAGGAGGTAATCCGCGAGGGAAGTTGAAAGATCGATGGAGCGATCTACAAGATTTCTCTGTCGGAACAGGTTGCGGTATTGCGGTTAATATATTGTAGCCCTTATTCACGATGATGTTTGCCAAACTAGTAGCAGTAGTTAATTCACGCATAACTATTTAAACAAAAGGCAAGCTAATGGAAAGGGGAAACAAAGTAAACGAGTCAGGATGTACGGGGCACTGTCAAGGCTTACAATATACTCGAGTCATGGACTGCGTAGAGGCTAAGAGAGGAGTCGTCAACCCATGTTGCGGGATAGCCTATGCGGTGATGTGGGGGTGGACAGGGCGGCACCGTCGTCGAACCGTCATCGTCAAGCCGTACGCGCATGGCAAGTCAGCGGTTTTAACGTGGTGACGAGGAGACGGGACGACGTTCCCGTGGGTTCAGCGAGCGAGGAGTGGGCGTGAAGGAGTGATACTGTTACGCGTGTCGAACACTCAGCTCAGAGAGCGACGAGGTCTGATTGACGCGTGGACAATCCGTCGTACGCACGCGTGAAGCGGCGCACAAGGCGAAGTACAGAATGCGTGGGATTGGCCTATATGTGTTGGTAAAGCCGTCCGCACGCGTTGAGCGGCGCAGAGGGAGGGTTGGAGGTGGTGGACACCTGAGACGCGCCATACACAGCGTTCGTTGCAACGACACGTCTATGCGGCGTTTGGATTGTCGACGCGAGTTGCCCTACGCGTTAGTCGAGGGGTCGAGGGCGGTGGCGGCGATGTTATGACATCGGTCAGGCATGTGCACGCTGACGGCGGTGGTGGTGGTGCGGCGGCGGCGGCGTAGCGCTCGAGTGGGTCGCGCAGAGGGAAGCACAGGTGTGGCTCGAACCTATCAAGGTGTTATCATCTGTGAGTAAGAATACCGAAACGTAAAATGCTGGCAAGCACCTAAGTTCGCCCAGATACAGTGGGGCGGCAATGTTCGATACGGTTACAATGCGGTGGCAAAGCCCGCTACGTGTACGCATATGTGCAGCGTGTGTGAAAGCGGATGGTGGTGGTATCGTACTTGAGCTGGCGGTGTGGACGGTGTGGACGTGGCCGCTGGCGGCTACTTGTCGTTGAGGCGTCTGCGTATGCCTTGTTGAGCGCTAGTGGCTCGGCAGCTGGTCAGCCTGTCAAGCTGATAACTATAGGTAGTTGTGAGCAATTAAGAACGAAAAAAGGAGCTGGAACGTACCTAAGGACGCCCAGACATGCAGGCGGCCATGTTGTGCGATGAGATTAGAGGAAAGACACGACGCGTGGCAGTGGTGCGTCACGCGTCACGCATCAATGCATCTGATCACGACTCACCTGTCCTGACTCCTGTGCCAAGACCAGCGCTTGTCCAGATTTTCTCGGTCTCTGGTCATTCCAAATGTTCATCACGGCATGCAACCTCCCTCGTCGCATCACCCACTTGATCCAAAGTTTCAAACCTCCTTATCCGCAGAAATGGTTCGATCGCGCTCTTTCTCCGAAGCTATAAAACGAATCTCCGTGCACCCACAATGAACCTGAAGCTCGACAACCTAACATCCATGAACGCAGCTTAAGTTGAGCACTCAGAAGACTGGGATTTGCTTGCTGCTACGTGGAGACTGCGAAGGGTTTTGGATTGGATCCAGATGGCCAAGTCTAGCTAGGAGAGCCTGGAGAGGGGAGGCAGGCGACAGAGCGGGAGCATGATGCGAGTGTGTGATACGGGGTTGCCACAGCCATGGGTATGGACGGGTTTTCTCATTTCAACCCTCCCATTCTCATCTACCTGATTTTTCTAGACACCCACTCCGGCGTCGACCTTAAGACCAGCAGATACCATCTCACGTTTCAAGCCAGTCGACACGCGCGTCCCGCAGCTCGGCCAGGTTGATGCTTCTCCACGCTAGCTACGTTGCCTGGACCACCAAGGATTTATGCTGGCATTCCAGCTTCTTCACAACCTCGTCGTCGCGTTCGCATCTTGCGGACTGTTCGCGGATTATGAACAGATGGGCTCTGCGCTCGAGGGGTGGCGGCTTGGCCGATTGGCAGGCTAGCATGCTATGATGAGAGGAAGAGAGCAGTGGTCGGAAGACGACGAGATGTCCTTGATACAGGGACTACTCAGGCGTCATGTCTACTGTGCAGAATATCGCTGCCCCGTCCAACTCAAGGCACCCCGGCCTGTTCTGCGTCGTCCATCAACCTCGACGCTCGTCCCGCCGACTACGAGACGACACTCACGTTGCAGCTCCCGCGCCAAGGTGATCATCAATGTTACGGGCTGTTCACAAAGGCGATACCTCTACGTCACCAGCGACCTTTCGTCAACTTCAACGTGGGATTAGTGCTGCAAAGGGCGATGATAACTCATGCGCTCGTCAACTTCAAACGCCTTCCGATGTCGCGATAACTCAGCATCTGAAGCGCAGAGTCAAGGCGGACTTGTACCTTAAAACTGCCTCCAACGCCATCCCGCGCGTGTTTTGAAGCGAGGCCCGGTAGAATCGGCGGTATCAAGCCCACCGGCTTCACCTTTGCACGCCGGTCGGACGGACGGAGACAATACCCATGGGAGCGGCTCAGTTAGGGAGGAGTAGGGATATGAGGGTGATCGGGAGTTGGTCCTCGATGTAGAAGATATGAAGGTACGTGTCGCCCTCAAAGTACTTTATGGGACTAACAATGCCCTTCAACAACAGTGCTCGACGTTCAATAGTGCTAGTACCTCATCCTCCCTGTCATCGGCGGACTCGTCGCCGTTCCACGCCCTTCACCAATTCGTCACGCTTGTACCAAGAACGTGGAAGCCTTGACCTGGAGCTTGAGATCAGCGCAAAAGGTGCGTTATTTGGTTTCTGCGCCTTCTATGAATGCTCACTCGAAGAGCTGAAGCGGAGCGCAATGCATGCGCAACGGAAGGGCGAGGGCGGGACAGACACTCGAAGAACCAGCACGAGGGTGGGGCATCGGAGCACGGCGCATACACACCCCGAAGAACGAGGGCGTCTGTCTGTATTCACCACCTCTCCTGGACCTCATCGATGTCTACGCACGTACGCCCGTGGCCACCTTGCCTCATAGTCTTTTGAGGACATACACTACGTTTTCACTGTCACCAATGGCTCCAATATACGTCTGTCATCAAGTCTCGCCAATCGTCTTGCCACGCGGTGGAGGACGTGCCGACGAAGTGCGAGGGGCGCGACGACCGATGTTTATGCTGACGCGCGTAGGGTGGATGAAGCGGCCAGATTTGAGGCTGGCGTGGCAGGGGAAGCTTGCCATCGCCATCCTCATTTTCATCCTCAACGCCATCATCATCTTCTACATCATTGAGTTCCGCCGGCTACTGTGCCGCGTTGCATACCACGGACGATGACTTTGGGTCACCATCCAGGGTCAGGTGTATGACGTCTCGAAGTTCGTGCGCAGAGACCACAGCGACGTCCAGGGTTTGATCAGCGGCGGGATGGATACCCTTGAGTAGGTCGTCGGTCAGGATCTCCCTCCCCCTCTTGTGCTTGCGTGCCAGGACCTTGTCACAGACTTGCAGATGATGCTCACCGTGAAGAACGCAACCCTCGGCCTCCCTCCCACAGGGTCGCATGCGTCAGGCTCTTTCACTTCAAGGCGTGCCCAGCCTGACTAATATACGTCAAGATTCTCGCTTAGGATCAACCAGTACAAGAAGGGACCCCTCGTCTCCGAGAAGAAGGATATCTTGGCGCAGGCTCGTGACCAGGACATCCAAAGGTATGTCTTACAGGAAAATGTTCATATTTCTTATGTTTATGTGCGCTTTATAGGGTGTGGGATACTGGGGCGACACCGTCCACGGCCTTAACGACTACCTCAATACGCTTGGCATCCATTGGGACGACGGCGATCACAAGTTCCTCGATGAGAACCTCGTGGATGTCTTCAAGCAGCAAGCCGGCCAGGACTCCACCAAGTCGATTGAGGCGGTGATGACCAAGATGAATCCGGCTGTGCGCGCGCGGAATAAGAATTACCTGCGCAACGCTGTCTTTGTCGGGAAGACGGATTTCAGGAAGACGCCGAGGTGTTTCGTGTAGAGCTACCTGCTACTCGCGATTTCGGGTGTCCTCGTGGCATCCACGGTCCTCAGGCGTAAGTCTATCCTGTACTACAGATATTCCTGCTTCATTAACCCTTTTTGTAGTCCTTACTGCAACTCGCACGCCTGAGATGAAAGACAAGTTCGTTCTGTGCCAGGTTCCTTGCTACACTTTGCTACACTGAAGGCGAAGAGTCGCTGCGTCGAAGAAATGATTCACTCGCTGCCTGGCACTGTGACAACAAGCGCAAGTTGATCTTCGTCATCTGCGACGATAACATCATCGGTAGCGGTAAGGACCGGACGACCCTACGGATTGTGTCGGACACTCTTGGTGTACCCGAAGGTCGACCCAACGTGTTTTGGCAGAAGCTTCGGCGGATCGCCGGCTAATTCGGGTGGACTTGATGGACCGGTACTGACGTTGCCGCCTGTTGGAATGGGAATGACGGAGCAGCGTTCAGCCTCAACGTTCTCGACGGCGACGGCGGCCAATCCGTTCGCGGGCCCTGCATGAATGCCAACCCTACCGACGATGAGCTCGTCAATACCTTGCGCACTTATCCAAGCGGGCAGGACCTGACGACCGTTACAAAGGATGACGACCGTTACAAAGGAGTAAGCCTTTCTTCTTATCATTAGATGTGCTTAGACTGACGTACGACGCGCAGAACCGCTTGCGAGGCGAACGTGGTGGAGTTCCCGAAAGCTGACGTGACCCGCACGCAAGGACTTCCAAAATAAATATCTAGACTCGAAACATAGACGTTCCTTCCGCATCCTCACGCGACTTTTCTATATAGTACCCTTATAAATACATTCGTTTAACCCATCATTTGCTACTTTGCATTACACTATTGGCATCACGGACATTCAGACATGTTCCTGTAGTAGGTAGTTATCGGACTATGGCCTACTTAAATAATACGGGTTCGTTGGTACTTGCATTGCGGTCGGGCCACCCTCCATAGACGCAATACGTCCTCCGCGATCGTGCTGCAGGAATGTGTAGATGAATGCTTTAAATACGGATGGAGTACCTTAAAAAATAGAGGGCGAACATTGAAACGTGAAGGGTTCCAGAGGAGGAATACAATTGCTGAGACGGCAATGAATCATTTGTCAAGAACGATCCCTTCAAGACAGAAGACAACGGTCGGACGTTCGGAGTAATAACGCAGTAGAATAACGCATTCATCAGCACAGAAGTAGGTGGAGATCGTCGATAGCCGGAATCTAGATTGCTAAACGCGAGTACTTCATAGCAAATCAGGAAATGCCAGAACGTGATGCCGGCGCAGACAGGCTCAACGGCGGTGCGCCTGGAGTGTCGGTGGAGGTAGTAGCTCTGTAGGCGGTGGGTAGCTTGTACGCCCAGGCGGTCGCCATAAAGGGTCACCATCCAGATAGAACGACTACTAATTATTTGGCCTTGCGCGAAACCCTTGTAGCTAGGATCGCAAACGACGAAAGTCACTCATTAGCACTGCGGGAGTGACTCACCCATGTTTCTAAGCTAAAGCTAGATCAGAAAATATATTTTCACGGCTTTCAGTTCGAGCAGTGTCCGACGCGCTGCCAGATAGATAGTGAATATGTTGGGACTCTAATCCTCGAGCACGACACGCCTTTCAACGCGAGACGACTTATGAACGACCCATCACATTGCGACGCGATACTATGATGAAAATAGGTTGGGCAAAGAATCTCCACAAGGTGAACAGGCGAGGCGTAAGGAGTCCATTGCCCATGACTGGCTAATACTTCGCCCCCCAGAAACAATCGAACGCATCCACATACCACATGGGCTCCACGTATTTACCAAACATCAACTCGCTGATTGCAGCGACTTGATCGGCACCCGGCGCTTCTCCAAGACGCCATGTGTCCCTAAAACTGAGCACCAGAATCCTCTCGCCATTCTCCCAGGCGTGGCACCATTGCGCTTCTTGGTCACCCTCCATAATAACATTCACGCGGGTTTCAAGCCATGAACCCGCAACACGAGCGCGCTCGGCGACGGGGTCAGCATCGTCGTCACAGCACTCCCGGAACCAGCTCAGTGGCGATAATTGCTGGTCGGGGGGTAGACGCTGCTCATTGACCGCAAGAGCCTGTTCAAAAGTGAACTTGTACCCATAGCGCCAGCGGGGAGGCTGAAATCGGCTTTTCTTGTCAGGTACCGTGTTCAGGGGGAGGTATTCGTATGCTCGAGCACGCGATACGAATTTGATGAAGGCATTCTGGAGGAGGAGAATTATTTCCCTGGTGGTCGAAGTAAGAATCTGAGCTGCTCACCCTCAAAGATGGGCGACCGTGCAGATCGTTGGTCGATTTCGGAGGGCACGTAAGTAGTAAGAAAATACGCCTGTCCGCGCCCGTCATTTGGGAAACGACATCAGCCATGGTGGGCTGGGCAGGCTCATGCTGAGATGCGTTCGGAGAGGACATGGATAAGGCCAAGTCGGGCATGGCTTCGGTGGCAACTTGAGAGGAGTCGAGAATATAAAGGCAAGTTGGTTTTTGTCACGTGGGCGCCACGGGTCCGACTCGGAGTTACTTGTGGTGGCACCATCCTTTTTTGGATGACAGTATTGTCTCAAATTTAGACGCTTTGTTCGATGTCGAGATTGTTCTCGTATTGTTCTATGAGATCCTTGCTTCACGCCTGTTGTTCCTACAGTGGCATGCCTTTTGTCTCGACCAGCTTTCCTTGTTCGACGTTCAAACGTTCATTATCTGAGCTAAATTTGGGGATTTACTTGAACGGGAAACACCTTCAGGCTGGCCTGGTCCTTGCTTATAAAAATCAGGACAAACGCTTTGTGCACCGCATCCCCCACGCCTGGCATAATCCGCTGCTCTTCTACCCAGCATGGTCATCGCCTCTCAGCAACCCCATATCGCTCGGACTACCGACCGCAAGATATCTTTCCTGTCTGAGGTCCTCGTCCAAATCGGCAAGGCAAAACTTGCTCTCGATATTATCCCGGATGACGCACAAGAGCATAAATACTATGCCTTCACGACCAGATTTCTTTCCTGGATCGCTCAGACTACCACTGGGCTTCCGCGGCCCCGCGTTACGAGCCATGTCGGGCAGTCGACTGTGTCGACGCCAGCCACAGCCACGGTGGAGCCCCCTTGGCTTGACGTTAACCCCCAAGGAAAGTTAACCAGGGGCGATTATCGATGGGCAGTGCATAGAGGTCTGTCGCCCAACTTTATTCACACCCAAACGCGAACTGATTTCTCCTATCATAGGAATAGCGGAGCAGGACAGTATCATTAATTACCCTGGAGAACGGGGCGAGCAATCGCTTTCCACGCCCGACGTCAGCGCCGTGTTTTCTGACTGTCCAGAACCGGACGCGGAACCGGAACCAGAACAGCAGCCAACTATCAGCAATGTTCGGCGAGCTCGGCTCCCTCTTCCTCCCTCTTTCCGCGATCAGGAGCCTTTCGTGCCGCTTCAACAGAAACCAGTGATGAAGCGGGATCCCTCAACGGCTCCTGATAAACCGCGTGAAATGGAAACCACCTCTCAATCGCCTGACTTCATCATTTTTCTGTACACCATGGACCCGGTGCTCGGCATCTGGAATACCCAGCCCATTTTCGCCGTTGAAAACAAGCGGAAGATCACAACCGAGGGCGAATATGAGCTGCTAGCCGGCCAGGTTAGGAAGCAAGCCAAGTTTATGTTTGCTGAATACCCGGCGCTGCAAGGCACGACGCTCTCAACGCTCTCTCTTGTTGGTGGCGAATACAGGTGGTGTGATTGGAGGTGGAATAGCGGGTCGAAGGAGCCAGTGCTTCAAAATCCACAGGTCGAGCCATTTCGGCCATTATTCGTGCAGGAAAAGGTAGACGGGCCTGATGGCATTGTTATCACGTATGATGACGTGGCAGAGGATTTCAAGAGGCGCTGGAAAAAGCTTGCTTGCAGGCACTATTTACAATGCAATAGCTTCTACCATGCCTAAGGAGCGTATTCCAGTACTTTCAACTGTAGTTACCGTTCAATAGTCGACCGTACTTTGCCCGTTTTCATAGTATATTTCTGATCAACGCTACAGGATCTGCGATACCCGAGGCCTGTTGATGTCGGCGGATACCCTGAGGAATACACAATGCTTCTTCGTATAGGTAAAATTCGATGCGCGGGGAAGTCCTAGTAGCCTATCACAACAAAGAGCGGCTTCACGGACGACGACAGACCCGTCGATGCGTGGTATAAAGACCGTCACAGCTCATCTGCCTCACCACCTCACGCGCCTCATCTCTCTCTCGCCTAACCCAACTCCGCCGCGCACACTCGACTCGCGCAGTTGGCCTTCGTCTCTGCCAAGGTGAGGTTCGTAGCCAGGCACCGGAGATTCGTTGGGGAATGAGACCGGATTGCATGTCCGATCGAAAACCCGGCTGTGTTAAGAAAAGGGCCGGAGAGGGGGTCCAATGCTGGGACCCGGCACAGGAGCCACCCAGCTTTTTATTGAACTTCAAGTGCTCGGCTGCCCATGGCGATTCACGTTCGAAACGGGACTTGAAAATGGCGGATCGGCAAGCGACCACGGTGAGAGCAGCGGCGCCAGGTCCATCGGGCTCGTTTGCGGACTTGACGGCCACGGCCAGGGAGGCAACGTCGATGACGACGAGGAGTGTGCTCGATCTCGCACACTTAACATCTCAACACACTTATCTCTACTGCAACACTTCTCCCCGCTCTCAAGTTGCCTTCACCCTCGCTCGACGCGCCGTGTCCACTAACGAAACATCCCGCCCGCTCCACGAGCGAAATAGCCGAACCACGCCTGAATGGCGAATGCTCATTGACATACGCCAACCCCGTCGCGGGCGAGCGGACCACGGCATCAGGTCTGGGCGAGTGCGTGCCCTCGTCAAAATTGGTCCCGACTAAAGCCCTCACGCTGGATACGTATCGTTGCCGCCTCTGGACGGGAATCAGCCTCCATCCGTCCTGGCGTTGTAAAACCTCGGAAGCTGGAGTCCCCTTCCATGCCGATGTGCAGTGCGGATGATCGTCGCCGTACTTATACACCGACCCGTCCTAACCTGCCAGCTCAACTTGGAACTACAGCGTAGGCGACGGGGAGAGCATGACGTGGAGCAGTCGTTCGTCGACTAGGACTAGAAGAAACAAGGGTATCGTTGGCTCGGGCAAGCAAAGACAAAGGAGGCGTAAATGAGGAGGATGGATAGCGGAGCAGGGGCGATGGCAACGGCTGTAACAACAAAAGAGAAACAGGGGAAAGGGTTAAGGAGGGAAGAACTATGAAAGCAAGGAAAGAAGAGGCACGTACCTTCAATCTCGAAGTACTGCCCACCCAGCACTGGAATGGGCAAGAAGGTTGCGGTCAGTGGCGGCTGGT